GCTTGAATTTGAATGATTACTGCCCAAATACAAGTATTAATAATAAAAAGTTAGTATTATTCACACTAATTAAAAAATTAATACAGGGGCTGGAGATAGAGCTCAGTGGTATGAGGACCTGCCCGGCAAACGCAAGGTCCTGCATTCAATTCCCGGTGCCACAGGGAAAAAAAAAGTGAAACAAAAAAAATATAATACAGTAATCAACAGATTTATTTTCAAGTGATTTGTTTCCATGGCCCTGATGAAACTGAAATATGACATCTGCTTTGCTAAATCAACATCTTTCTTGGTATTATTATAATCAGAGACACCCCACCCCCACCCCCAGAACTGGTACAGACTAGATCCTCTGCCTCGGCCTTCTGAGTGCTGGGATCACAGGTGTGCGCCACCATGCGTGGCTCTTTTTTGTGGCTGACAGTTAAGTTTGCCTTAAGAATCAGAGGAGACTTTTGATTTGGACTTGTTAGCAGTGTTGGAACTGTTAATACTTTGGCGGGTTTTAGAGAAGGACTTGGTGCATTTTGCATAAAGAGATACACATGAGCCTTTTGGGGGCCAGTATTAGAGTGTTATAGTTTAGAGCTAAAATGGCCCTCCACACCTCATGTATGTGGAAGGCGGTTGATTTGTGGTGGTGGTGTAGCTGCCTTGCGGTTGGAGGGTGGGGTCTGGTCAGAGGAGACAGGTCATGGGGCATGGCCTGGAAGAACGCATCTCCCACCTTGCTCCTCTGTTCCTGGTCTCCATCCCAGCTGCCGTTCCGTAAGGGGGATTCCTCCAAGCAGGTCCCTCCACCGTGCCTCCCCTCCTTCCTTGGATGGCAGCTGTGCTTACCTTTACACCGCCAGCACCACCTTCCTGCCTTGGAGCCAGCTGACTGGACTGAAAAAGTGGCCCCAAATAAACGTCTCCTCCGTTAAGTTGTGTGGATTTGAGTATTTTGTCCCAGTGACTAGGAAAGTGACTACCACACATGCCCCTTTGAATTGGAGCCTGCTGAGTGTGGACTGAATCCTTTTAAGGTGTGAACCAAATTAAACCTGTCCTTTTTTTCTTTCCTTTTGTTTTGGTTTTCTGAAACAGTCTCACCATGTAATTTTAGGCTGGGATGAACTGGTTATATAGCCCAGGCTGGCCTCCAAGCTGTGGGGATCTTCTTGCCTCAGCCTTCTAAGTGCTAGGATTACAGGGGTGTGTGACCACACCCAGTTTTAAACTTCTCTTTTAAGATGGGGAGTTGTGTCCAGCAATGGGAAGGCTGACTGATGAAATTCTTACTGTTGGAAGTACTGGCAAAAATATTGTAAAAATATTTTTCTACTTCTGCCACCCATCAAATGTGATGTTCTAGATTTATTAAGTGGAGCTCATATGCTAAAGATTTACATGTAAAAAAGAAATATTGTACAGACTAAAGAGAATATCTTTAGGTAGTTCAAACACCATGCCAGCTGACAATATAAAAAGAATGACACGTTCTTTCACAGTAAAAATAAATAAAACTGTCATGAACAATGAGAAGGGAGCAGCACAAACCCAGCAAATCATTTGTAATGCATATGCTTTCTCTTCAGACCGAGAGCAGAAAGCTAATCTCGTATACACACTATATGCATATATACATACATGCATGCACGTGTGCACACACATGCGTGTGTCTGTACGAAATTCCGTGCAGGCATCGCCCTCCCCACTTACCCTCCTTCTCAGCTGAGCCTCGGGGAGGGTGTTCCTCGGGCAGCAGCAGAGATGAGAGCTGTGCAGCCCGCTTGCTCCACGGCCTCTGTTGGTGTGTGGTGTTGAGGTGGAAGCTCTGCGGAGCCTGAAGCTTTGCGTAGGCTGCGCTGGGCATCGTGAAGCTCTTTCCGTTCATTTGCTCAGAAGCTGTGCTGCTGTTTGCTGTGTTGCATCGTTGTTACCTGGGCAAGAGGGTGTGGAGGAGCAGGCAGCGTCGTGCGTGCAGGTGTCACACAAGCGTTTATTGATGCCCACTACAAGCCCTTGATACTGTCTTGTGCCCTAGAAATAGTACTGGAGAAACAACTTTTTGCCATAATGAGCTTATGTAAATTCTAGGGCAGGTGTGGAGACTGACAATAAACAGAATATTTGCACGGTGAGACATCTACTGCAAAGCCTGTGCGTGAAGTCCTGTCCTCTTTAATATTTAGTCTATGTGGGCGTGAATGTAAACAGTACTCAGAACAAAGGGGACTGAGTACTTGATGGACTTAAAACCACAGTTGGCCGAAAAATTCTCACTAGCTTGTATAGGGATTTTGTGGTCTCTCTGTTGTTCACGTGTAAATGCTGTGTTAGGCAGCTGTTAAAATACTGGTATAGACGCATACTTAGGACCATGGAGAGATATTTCTAAGTGGAAACGTAAGTTAGGAAATCCTATGTTTAGCATGATCACAATATAATGGGTAATACTTTCTATTTTGGTGCCCATAATCAAACTCTGGACCTTGGGCTTGCCCGGCAGAAGGTGCCGGACCGCTCAGCTATCTCCCCGGCCGCTGATGGGTCGTGCTCTTGCACCACCTCTGAGCTTTCGGTCCTGAGAAGGGAGATCTAGTAGTGCCAGCCTGGGCCACAGCTCCTGCCCATTCATGTCCTCTGTGCTTTGCTGATGGACTTACCTGAGTGTGAGAGTAACTGGCTGCACCTGTCCCCTTCTGTTTAGGGCTGTCCACTCCAGTGATGGCAAACCTATGGCATGCGTGCTGCTATGGGCTGTTCGTACCATTGAAAGCTCTGAAGGATTTGCCTTTGTTGGGGCAGATTAGAGGGCTATAGGCAAAAAAACAAAAACAAATAAAAAACCCAGGGCAGGGTAAAATCATCACATGTTTATTTGTGGTTGACAGTTGTAAAATTATCACTTGCTTATCTGTACCCTACCATATACTTGAGAATTGTATTCCTTATTACTCGTAATTAAGAAATCCCCAATTGACCTTATCCCCTTCCCAGAAAAAAGGGCAAGGCCCTGGTTGGCCTAGAACACACCAGTCAGTGCAGAAATCATTTTTAGAAGCTAGTGTATCCCTCTCAGTATGACTTACGCCTCAGACTCCCGGGGCATCCTGAGCGGGGTTCCCCTCTCTTGCAGCACACTCTGCTGCTAAGACAGCTCTTCTTCTGCCTTCTCTGCATTTGCCATCCTTTAAGTAAGCTTTCTCTTTGCACGGTATCAGCCTGACTCCCCGTTTTCTGCTAAGAGCCCCACTTCTTCATTCTTTGCCACAGTAAGGGCAAGGACCCAAAAAGGCCAGGGATCATTCTGGGAGGCCCCTAGCCATTCCCTGGTCCCCCAGTGGACACTGCTCTAGTCTTTCCCTTGCCATTAAATTATTTTTCATTTACTGCTTGTCTTTACCATTGCTGAAACACAACACCCCACAGTTCCACAGCTCTGAGGAGGAGAGGTTTATTTGACTCACAGTTCGTAGAGGTTCCAGTCCATAGTCGGCTGGCTCCCAGGCAGGGCAGCAGGGCGGAGGAGAAAGAGCTCATGGCGTGGTAGCAGGAAGCATAGGACGATCAAGGGAGACACGTGTCCAGGCCTTAGCCCCAGTGCCCACTTACTCTGACCAGGCTTCCCCTTCCAGATCTCGTTCAGCTCCAAACCCCGGGGGCTGACCCCCTGATGAATATCATGCCCCATGACCCAGTCATTGCCCAAGTCCCTACCTGTGAGCGCATGGGGCTTTGGGGGACATCTGGAGAGAAACAGCAGCACTTCCTCATGAGTCAGTTGTGCAGAGCCTGCCTCTGCAGGGAGGGCCTGCCCCAGTGTAGCGCTAAAGCATGCCCTCCCTGGGGTTTGCAGCAGGCCCTTTGGCTTGTATACCTAAAGCGCCCAGTAGTGGCAACAGTGCCATTTTGCTTTGTTTCCTCATCTTGTTCACAGCTGTGGGCATAGAAAAGGTGGTCAGCTTTTAGGTGACCTCTTTGGGCACTTTGGACTGTGATCCTATTTGTATCAGTCAGTGCTTACTAGAGAAACAGAGGTAACACAAGATACACAATGTCTAAGGAGTTACGAGACCGGCCGACAGTGGCCCCCCAGAGTCGGAGGGCACGGTGCAGGGGGCGTCTGTTCGCTGGAGACCGAGGGGTTCAGTCCAGGGTCTGGCGCTCGCTGCAGTGTCCCGCGCGAGCCCGTGTCGGGAGGTGAGGGTCCGTGAGGAAGGCTGGGGACTCTGCGCTGGAAGCCAGGAGATGATGTCCCACCTGAAGGCGAAGACTTGAGCTCCTCCGAAGAAACAGAGGCGAATCCTTCTCCCTCATTTCCCCTTCATACCATCCAAGTGACAAGCCGCCCTACGCTGTGAAATTGCTGAGTTGATTTAGTTAAGCTTCTCTTACTCAAGTTGACACAATCAACCATCACACTATTTTATTTAACTTTACATAGATTTAAAAGTTTTCCTATATGTATATATAGAAAAAGTCTAGCCGGGTGTGGTGGCGCATGCCTGTAATCCCAGTACTCCCAGCACTCAGGAGGCTGAGGCAGGAGGATTGTGAATTCAAGGCAGCCTGGGCTACAAAGTGAGCTCAAGACCAGCCTGAACTGCATAGTGAGACCCTGTCTCAAAAAGACAAGGAAAAAAAAAGAAAACAAATGTCTAGAGAGATACATGTCGTAACTTTAAAAGAGGCTGGTAGTGTTGGATTGGGTTTTTCCCCATGTAGAATTCACTGAATTCATTAGGTATATAATTTAGACATAATGATACATTTTAAATCTTTGAAAAATATAGTCATCTGACTTCATATAAAAGGATCATTTAATTTTACCATTTAAAGTTGAAGTTAGTAGAAGTACTGTACTCTGCAGTTTATTCATAGCTCTTATTTTTGGCAAAGGAGAATATGGGCTTCTTAATCTTTTTTGTGGGCTCCCTAACGGTTGCATCCTTTTTGGTGTCTTAGTGTTTTGGGAACATATCCTAATTTTTGTGTATGTTAACATTTTACAGAAAAAGCTACAAATGAATACAATACCACAGAAGACTGGAGTCTTATTATGGACATATGCGACAAAGTTGGAAGCACTCCGAATGGGTATGATAACCAGTGAATATTTAGCAGCTTTATTAACCTATGCCTTTTTCATGATGTGACTTTGAAAGGACACCGAGGTGCTAATTTTAAACAAACTGTTCAACTATTTTTAAACTTCTTACTTAACTATTTAGTTTTGGGAGATAAAGGTAAACAGAGCCCATAGGTTGGGTTTATAAGTCTTATCTGGAAAGAATAAATGGAAGAGAGCTCCATTTGTAACCTGAGCTGTATTAACATAAAGAAAGGCTTGACACGACAGGGGCAGATGTTCACAATGAATGGATTAGTGACTTGGGCTTTTCCCTGTGACTTAGCATGTGTGAGAACCTTTCATTAACGAATAGGTAAATACAATAGGTAACGGAATGAAAAAAGTGAACTATAAAAGTGTTCTTGAGAGTGCATCAGTTTAACTGAATTGACTATATTCTAGAAGTTAAGAAAGTGACGGAAGCATTTAACGGGTTTTCATGGTGCATTCCCATGCTTGTGTCTGAATCTGCTGGATCACATAGCCAGTTCTTTACAAGAGGAGAGTGGGGAGCGTTCCATGGCCCGCTTCTCCTGTGTTGGCTTCTCTGTAAGATGATGTGTCTGTTTTGGAGTACACAGTGGTTGCAGCAATTATTTTTGGAGTTCTGTGAGTCTATGAACAAAAGATTGTAAAATCATTTTACAGACTTATTCCTTAACAAAGCAGAGTTTCTAGGGTTTTATTTTTAAAGTTATGTGGTTGGGAAATACCTTATACTTTAAATGTTGAAGTTGAAATTATAAAACAAAATACTATCTGTATTTTTTTTCTTAGAGCAAAGGATTGCCTAAAAGCCATAATGAAAAGGGTAAATCATAAGGTCCCTCATGTTGCTCTGCAGGCGTTAACTGTGAGTAAAAGTCATGTTATTGACCCAATTTTTAAAAGTGCTCTTATTCTAGTAAGTTATGTAAGATAATATTTCACCATTTATATATTAACTTTTATTGTTGTTAACAGCTTCTTGGGGCTTGCGTGGCAAACTGTGGAAAGATATTTCATTTAGAAGTATGTTCCCGTGATTTTGCAACAGAAGTACGTGCTGTGATAAAAAATAAGGTAAATTTTAGAAAGAGAAGAAATGTAAGTCATTTTAAAAAACATGTATTGTGCATCAATTAAATGATATGTAACAGAGTTATAGATAAAATTACTTTTAGGTAAATTAGAATGATTTAAACTTCTTGTTCTGAAATTTGATTTTTAAAAATTGATGGTATGAAAAATAGTTTTTCTCTCCAAAGCGTTATATGCTGTTCATAGGAGCTAATCTCTGAGCTCGAGTCAGAAGGCATTTCTTTATCCGCGGTGTGTAGACCGTCCTGTGTGCACAGAAATTGAGGCTTGGAGGGAAGTGACTTCTCCCAGGCCGTGCAGCCGGTGAGGTGGTGCAGTTGAGGTTGAGAGCTGGGTTTCTGTGACTCGAGACTCCCACTGCCGCTCTGTGTCGACTCCCGCGACGGCTGGTGCGCCAGGGAGACCCTTGCTGGGCGGGGCTGCGGGGGGCTGCCGTCTTTCTTCGTGACAGAGCCCTGAAAGCACCGCGACTTGGGCTGTCGGTGGCAGAAGTCCCAGGGTTTCAGTCAAGTTGGTACAGAACTCTTACCAGTGTTGAGAACATTAAGAAAACACAAGAATAATCTTTGAATATAAAAGATTTGTTGTCATTGTAGCAAAACTTAGAAATTGATGTTCTAGCAAAGTAATTTTACATGAAACGACCACATCTTGACAGGTAAATAGATATCTTTTGTCTATTACTCAGATGGACTGGGGATAGCTGGGCTTCCGTTGATGTTTATGTAATTAAGAAGAATTTTGGTGGTAACTTTCTTTTTAGGTAAATAATTTAAATATTTCTTTTAACTACAGGTTTTGTTTTTTCCCCCTTTTCTTTCAAAGGCTCATCCTAAAGTATGTGAAAAACTGAAATCTTTAATGGTAGAATGGTCAGAAGAATTTCAAAAGGACCCTCAGTTTAGTCTGATAGCTGCAACTATTAAGTCAATGAAAGAAGAAGGAATTACTTTCCCTTCAGCAAGTTCTCAGGTAAGAAATTGTTCAGACTTGCGGTTAGCCCTGTATACCTTTTTTGGTTTTTTTGCAGCAGGTTCTCACTGTGTAGTCCAGGCTGGCCTTGAAGTCACTATGTAGCCCAGGCTGGCCTCGAACTTGTGACATTCTTCCTGCCTCAGCCTCCCAAGTGCTGGGGTTGCAGGCGAGCCCACCATGCCTGGTTCTGGCTCTATTATTTTGAGGTATGTAGCTGGGCAGGGGTGTTCTGATCGTCGCGCGTCATCTCCGTCCCCCAGGCACCTCTCCAGCATGGTGCCCAACGTTTAGGAGACACTCTAAGAGTAAAGTGTTCTTCTTCCACGTAGTAGAACTTCGAAAAGTGAATGTGGCATAATTTATGTAAAATCACGTGAGAGGTTTAGATGTGTTGAACAGCCTTCGTGTTAAAAAATGTGTGGTAAATTTGGGGGTAGCCATACATGTGTCTGTAAACAAAGATCTGTAAGTGACAGGTGAGGGATGAAAAGCACAAAGGCAGACACCATCTTTCTGCTGTCAGGAGGAGAGTGGGAGCGGGCAACGGGGATGGTGAGGAAGTGAAGAGGTAGGATTTTGAGACTGAGATGTGTTATTAGGGTGGAGCGAAGAGCTGGGTGTGGTGGGGCACACCTGTAACCCCAGCACTCAGGAGGCTGAGGCAGGAGGATTGCTATGAGTTCAAGGCCAGCCTGAACTGCACAGTGAGACCCTGTCGAAGTAAAGAAGTAGTAGGAGGGGAGAAATGAACGAACACATTCATGGGGTTGAGTATTGTTTGTTGAAGAGTAAATATGCCTAAAATGAATAGTTTACAGTAAGGTGGGTGGAGCTAGAAGTTTACCTGGAGAGATACGGGGTAGTTTTAGTAAGACAGGGAGAGGGGCTGGGGTAGAGACCCACAGAGTGGGCTGGTTTTCTAGGTTTCTGGGAGAGCAGTGTGTCTTGCTTGGACCTCTGTCAGTGCTTTTTGTCTTCCAGTTACTATTAGGTTGCAGGCTAAGGAAAGAGACTGATGAAGGAGGTACTTTCTTTTCTTTTATGTTGACTGTAAATTAGAGACGAAAATAATTTAATAGCTGATCAGGCCGAAGGAAACGAGAGTTTATGAGATAGAAGGTACAGTTTTCTGAGTTTTCTGAAGTCAGTTCTGGAGTCATCTTTCATGAATCTCGTTGCACAGTATGATAAAAAATATGGTGACTGGTGCTTCCAGGTGCCAGCCGGAGGAAAAGCGGGCACGTAAAAAGATACTGCATGTGTCCTCATCCACCTTATTCACCAGTTGTGCCACCGTGCAACTTGTGTCTCTTCCCCAAAGTCAGAATGATCCCGAAAGGTCAGTGTTTTGAATTAATTGAGAACATGGAGGCAGCCGCAACAGCGCAGCGAAAGACACACCAGAGGGTTTCAGAGCCGCACGGGGCGTGGCAGGAACGATGGCGCAGGGGTGTGGGGCCTTACGGAAGGTTACTGGCAGTGTGTCTTCTACGGTCACGAGGATTTTAAATTTAAGCGTTTGCTGCATCTTTGAGTTACATCTCATTACTAGCGCCGTACCTGCCCTCCCTGTCCGTCCTCCTCTCCAACAGTAATCACGCCTCGGGCCTCACACTTGGCCTGGGGCTCTTTGCCTTTACCGCTCACCGAGGGGGACCTTGGGCAGCTGAGCGCAGAAGTGCGGTGAAGAAAGAGCCATCTTTATTCACTCTATAAATACTCAGCTGCTTTGTGTAGGCCAAGTTCTGTGTCAGATACTTAAGATTATGCGAAATGTAAGCCAATTCATGCCCTTTATGCATTTATAATTTTTGAAAACTCTTGCTTTAGTACTTGAAAACAGCTACTTAAAATGTCATGAAGAGCTTCACTTTCGTTTATATCAGTGGTTTTTGTTAGCTTCCGCAAGTAATCGCCGTGCTTCCGTTTTCTCTGAAAGGTACTTACGCTCCTTTTGCTCACACACTTGCAGACTGTCTCTGCCGCCGCCAAGAATGGAGCATCAGCGAGCAGAAGCAGAGAAGACGAAGACATAGCTAAGGGTGAGAAACCCAGCACGCAGGATTAGTATTGCTCCGAGTGCCCTCACCAGACAATCTCACTGAAATAAAACTTGTAATGGAACTGTGTTTTAGTTCTATCTTGTGCAGAAATCAGTAGAATCTTAAAATTAAGCAAAACAAATGACATGATGTAAGATGGGTTTAATTCATTTTTCCTCTTCAGTAATGCATATTTAATGACCTACCTTTGGAGAGATTACTTGTCACCTCTTCTTTAGTGCCAGAGTTATGAGTCAAGAACAGAAGTATGTTCACCGCTCGTCCTGTATGGAAAGCTCCCCATATCATAATGTCACAATCTGTTTGCTATAAAAATAATAGCTGCCGTATATAACAGTCTGTTACAATGAAGCATGAGCAAAACTGTACTTTAAAAATGCCGTGTTTTCCTGCCTTCCTGAAAGTTAACTATTTAGCATTTAATTGGACAAATAAAATATGCATAAGATTTATTATTAAATACAGTGATGCCTCAGTTTATGGACTTCATTTGTTGTACAGTTTTGGGCGAGATGTGTACTTTTGTGTTTGTGTGGGGAAGATGGCAGCGGTTATGTTTGTCAGCTGATGCAGAGTTTGCAAATGGAATCAAAATTTTGCCACTTTTGTTTGCAAACCAAATTATTTACAAACAGAACTGAGGTATTGCTGCATTACATTGTTTTCTAATGTTGTATTTTAAACTTTTTAAAAAACAATTCTGTCCTCTTCTTTGCATTTTACTTTTTCAAACTAGCTATTGAATTATCACTGCAAGAGCAGAAACAGCAGTGCGCGGAGACCAAGTCTTTATATCCATCTGCAGAAATTCAGTTAAACAATAGAGCTGCACGAAAAGTGAGAGCTTTGTATGATTTTGAAGCTGTTGAGGACAATGAACTCACCTTTAAGCATGGTGAAATTATCATTGTTTTGGATGACAGGTATGTTTTAAATCTTTAATTATGGAATATTCTGAAGTTTTTACTCCAGCATCCCTAATTGAGGATTTCAAATATTCAGTTCTTTGACTATCAGTGTATTTAAATCATAATAAAACCTTTTCATATCTTAATAATTTTTTCCTAAAATAAGAGTTAGAGTAAGTAATGCAAGTTGCTTATTCTTTTGTCAAATTTGCTAGTGAAGTATCCTTTATGTCTTGGATGAAAGATGTGTTAAGTAATACTGTTAATGACTACATTTGAAAAACATAAATGTTCAGTCACCCGGATGCATTTACACTGGGAGTATACCAAGGTTACTGGCAGAGAAACATCAGGAAGAGACGGTGTATTACGCTGATCAGAGCAACCAGAGGCTACTCTGCTTTTCCTTGATTCTTAACTTACTATCGTCTTCTCACAATTTCTTCGTCATTTGAAGTTGTAAGAAAGAACATATTGATCTATATTGAATCTTAAGTCTATTCTTTACTGAGCAATATCCCCAGTCCTTTCTAAAATTCTTCAAGATGAGGTCTTGGTAAGTTCCCCAGTGTGGGCTCAAACTTGTGATCCCCCTACCTCAGCGTCCCAGAGTACTGCGGTTAAAGGTATGGGCTACCATACTTTCCTTACTTTTATTTATAAAAGAAATTGAAGAGCCAGGCGTGGTGGTGCACACCTATAACCCAGCATTCTGGAAGGCTGAGGCAGGAGGATCATTGCGAGTTTGAGACCAGCTTGTGCTACAAAGTGAGCTCAAGTCCAGCCTGAACTGCATAGCAAGACCCTGTCTCACCAAAAAAAAAAGAAGAAAAAAAGAAATTGATGAAATTTAGCAGGAAGAGACCCTGCAGCTTGTTGCTATGAACAGAGATTACAAATGTATTTGTTTTTCATTATAAATAACTCACTGAGGATATAGTAGTTTAGTATAGTTTTTTTTTTTAATTTTTATTTTAAAGAGAAAAAACAAGTAAAACAAAATTTCATAACAAGATAATAGGAGAATAACAATGGTTAATACATTGCATGTTGTTATCTTTAAATTAGTTACTCAGTGTGCAAGATATATGCATTTAATTGTCCAAACAATATTAGCACAAACCTTTCTTTCCAGTGAACTAAGAGAAGTTAGTAGTATAACTATCTTTGTGTGTGTATATATATAATATATATATAAAATATATATATATGTTTTTGCTTTTTCCTTCCTTCTATTTACCTTCCCCCATCCCAGTTTCTCTTTCCTTTTGAAGTTTCAGTATCTATTGAAATACCCATTTTCTATTCCGTATCCATTTTACAGTATCGTACATTTTGAATCTGATTTAGTCTAGTATAGTTTTAAATGAGTAGAACATATAATGGTCTTCGCTGCAGTAAATATTTATTGAGAAAATATTGCATAATAGACTACAATACAAAATGTATGAGGACACGGTTCTCTTTCCATCGAACCTAAAGTAAAATCAAGGAGTTAAAATTACTGTACAGATAATTATACAGACGGAGAACGTGGGTGCAAAAGGAGAGGGCCTGCTGGAGGCTAAAGGGGCAGAGTTGCGCTTGGTGCCAGCACGTGGGAAAGACTCATTCGGGAGCCCATTTCAGGTGAACCTCGGTTAATTCTGACAAGACAGGAAATGTCTTACAAGTAATTGAGAATGGGAGAAGAAAGGCCTCAACAGTCAAGATAGCACGTGTTCACTGAGAAAAACTTATTTATCTGATAGGGTTTCACTGTGCAGTTCAGGCCGGCCTTGAACTCACTTTACAGCCCAGACCAGCCTTGAAGTTGCAGCAATCCTCCTGCCTCAGCCTCCTGAGTGCTGGGATTACAGGTGTGTGCCACACACCTGGCCTGATTACGCATCTATAAAATTACAGTCATTAATAAATAGAAATCTGCAAAATGAGTATTTTTAATCTAAGATTCAAACTTAGAACATTACTTTTGTATAATGAGATTTTCTAAAATAAATTGCTGTCCCCAAGTTAAATATAGTACTGATTGGTGACACAGATGCCTCCCAGATCCGTGCTGCCGTGTGCTGTGTGGTACTTAGCCCTTCTCTTTTTCTGTTTAACCAGAAGAGAAAGACTGAGAGTCTTCTTTACAGTCACCCATGATAGTATTTGGCGTTCATGTGGCATTAGGTACCTAGTATAGTCTCAGGACCTACGGCAAGTAGAGGATTATATTACTGGGCTACACCATGTCTTTTTCACTAATATCCATTTAAAGCATAAATTTATTAAATGATTTAGACTCATGAAATAAATTTCTGTTAATACTTTATCATTTTTAAAAAATCCCTTTTTCCTTTGGAATGCTAAGCTAATCCAGCATGCATATGCCGGAAGAGATGGGTGGCCACTGTCAGTCTGACAGTGGGACTCTTGCTGTAGTTACGCATACATGTTCTGTCTTGGGTTGAACGTTGTTACCCTCTTTGATTAGTAATCACTGGTAAGACAGTAAGCACAAATACAGACTTAGGGCCTGAAGTTACATGGCAGTCTTAGGGTGTAAAGAAGTTGTCCAGATGATCAAGAAAAGGACTCTTTATTGTTTTTAGATTTCTATGGAATTAAAAATAAAATTATTCACATGAAGGATGCCAAAGCCCTTGTAAATATGTCATTCTTCAACCTCAGCTTGAGAAACCTGAGTTGACTAAAAAAAGTACACATTTCTTAATCAGAATACATTTAAAAAGCCTTTCACTTTCTACATTTTAAACTTTGTCTCACTGCTCATTTTGTTCTTTATATAAGCATTTCAGATAATTAAGTGGAAATCATAGTTCCAAAAGTGTCATGTTCTCATTAGGCCTCTGTGGCCTTGTACAATTGGTTCTTTGCTTGGAAAGCCTTTTCAAAGGAAACCAAAGCCTTGGAAAAGAAAATGAACTTTACTTGCAAGGAAGATTTGCAGGTCCAAGCTTTAAAAGACTTGGTTCCTCAAATAAAAAGTACAAAGATATTTTAAGGAAAAGACCCCCACAAGATTACATAGATTTCCCAGTTTACTATTTCTGTTTGTTGTAGAAATAGCAGTGTTCTTACAGAATTATTTTATCCATAAAGTCATTCTGTTGTTAGCTCTTGCAGAAGTCAGGAGGTGATTTTTCAAAAAATCGCTCCCGAGGTTTCGTCGACGTTGAGCCGTGTACTAGGTAGGGTGGTCTTGGTGTAAGGGACAGCATGAAGCGCGGCCCGGACGCCGGGCTGTGTGAAGGCTGCGCCGTGTGGGATTTGTGCTTGGGCTCAGGCGGGCAGTGGGAAGGCCATGCGCAGGGACGAGGAGAGGCAGGCTTCTTTAATGGGGCTTGGAAGAAGGCAGGGACGTTGGGCGGGAAGCGCTTCGTGGGCCTCGATGGTCAGAGTTCTCTGGCTCTCTGGTGCCTCAGTGGACAGGGTCCTTAGGCGTCCTCTGTAGATGTCTGCGTGCCTTGAAGTGGCCTGGTGTTTGGAAGACTCCATGCCTGTCTTCTCTCTCTTGCGACGCCCTGTGTCTTGAGGGCCCCAGTCCCGAGCTGGGAAGAGCGCCTCTGCTGGCAGCAGGTTGGGTACCCTGTATCTCCCTACTTTTGAGCTCCTTTTCCTCCTGGTGGGTGCTTACTTAGTCTTCAGAGCCCACCATCTCAGATTTTATATTCTCTGAGAACCCTTTCCCTTTCCTGCTTTTATCTCCCAGTAGAGCTGAGTTCTCTGTGTTGCTACAGCGTCTTGAACGTATGTATATAAGACCGTTTTTCCATACTGCACGTTGAGTGTTTTCTTTATATGTATCTCTCCTGCTAGATTGCAGAGGGTGGGTCAGCGCTTCCCGGGAGGGAAGAAGTAGGAAAGAGAAAACGGTTCCCAGCAGATAAAGCAAGATGGAAACTGAAACACTGAGCTTGGATTTCAGATTTCTTCAGGGCAAAAAGAGTATCTTATTTTTGTAATTTCAGTGCCTAGCCTGAAAGTACTGGTTCTGTCCATGATAGACTTCACTTTTTTTCAGTACTGAGCCGTGACCCCAACGCCTTCACACTGAGCTGTATCCCCACCCTTTTTTACATTTTGAGACAGACTCCAGCTAAGTTACCTAGACTGGCCTAGAGTTTGTGATCCTGCCTCCGCCTCCCCGAGGGCTGGGGTTCTAGGCAAGTACCACAGTTTGCCCTTGGTAGATTTTCATAGAGGTTAGCTGAATAATCTGTTCATGGTAAAGTTTATGTCCCTTACACTTCCACCATTTTTCACTTAGTTATGATTTATTCTTTTCTCATATAAAAAGCTCTAAGTATATATGCCACATTTAGAATTTTACTTAATTATCAAATGGTTTGGGTGGAATTATAGTAAGGGATTACCTTAATTAGGGTGTTTAAAGTTGAACAATAAACCTAATCTCTACAGACATGAATAAGTTGAATAGTGTGTTCAGTGAGTTCCTGTGATAAAACTTAAAGAGATAGGCAAGATCTGCAAATACTGATACGTGACAGTGGAAAGATCTGTGAGGATGAACGTCTGTGTGTGTGTGTCAGAGTCACGTGTCCCGAGCCACAAGCACTACAGGAGAGTGTGACTGGCAAGAAAGTGGCGCGCCAGCTGCGTGGTGGCGCTGCAGGGTGGCTGTGAGTTCGGGACTCAGCCACTGAGAAAGGGGGCTGTGGTCTTAATTACACCTGAGTTTTTTTTTGTTTAACACCAGAGTCAGATGTGATCAGTCATTGACTGGTTTTAAATTTAGGTGTGGGGATAGGAATGCCTATTGTTTTTGTACTGTTTGATATTTTCTAATTAAATTTAAGAAAATCATCTTGTACATACGGGTGGGTTGAACCACTGTTTTCAAAGTAGGTTAAATTGCCTTCTTACTCTGCCCTCTCGACACAAAGCGCGGAAGGACAGAGGAGCGAGTGACCTCCTTTGCGCTGCCTTTTTCAGTGACGCCAACTGGTGGAGAGGAGAGAGTCACAGAGGGGTAGGGCTCTTCCCGTCCAACTTCGTAACAACTGATTTAAACGTGGAGTCCGAAGCAGGTAAGCTGCATCTTAGAGCATATTTCCTCTGCTAGGGTTTTTCACTTGAATTTTATGATTGGCATTTAACTTCTGTTACTCAAATCAGTTGTTTATAGTCATTGTAATTCTACCTATTTTTTAGCCAAGTAATGATCCATCCCACGTCAACCCTGGAAACTCTTCCTTATATTTTAAATCCTTTGAGAGAATATTTAAACTAGGCTTAGTGGTAAATGTCTGTACTCCCAGCACTCTGGGAGGCTGAAGCAGGAGAATAGCAAGTTGGAGCCCAGCCTGGGCAATTTAGTGAGACTCTGTGTCAAAATAAAATATGAAAAAGGGCCAGAGATGTAGCTCAGCGCTCCGTCTAATTACACAGTGTAAGAGGCAGTTTGTGTCTGTTGCGTAGAGAATATTTTCACGCATCACTGAAGCACGGAGAAGGTGGGGGTTTGCCACGTGGAGGAGGCAGGTGGCTGCAGTTACGTTTTGTACTTTACCTCTCGGGTAACTGGACCCTAGAGAACTTGAGGCAAGCATAAAGCAGTGTGATCAGGATTTTAAAGTGTCTGGTTCAGGTCTGGTGAACTTCCCTGGATTCTGCAGCTGCAGATTACCCGCCTCAGTCCCTGACAGCTGAGCTGTGGGTGCTGCCGTTTCCTGTGGGCAGGGCGTGGGAAATCTCAGTGTAAGCTCATGGTAATACTATTGATGACAAGAGAAGAAAGAGCTAAGGTTTTTGAACACTTATTATTTGTCAGACATTTTACAGTTTTATTTAATTCTTACAGTTCTGTCAGATACTTTGGTTACTCTATTTTGTAAATAAGGCAACGCTGATTTATGATGTATCTAGTGAGTGGTAGAACTAGGATTCTAAAGTCAGACAGGGGGGCTGGGGATTTAGCTTAGCGGCACAGCGCCTGCCTGGCAAGCGCGAGGTCGTGAGTTCAATTCCCGGTACCGGAAGAAAACCCCAAAAAATAAATAAATAAATAAAGTCAGCCAGTCTGACCTTAAAATATAATTAGACTCTACTTAGACTGCCTCACAGAGGGATATAATGGACCCTTTTCCAGTTCTAAAGAAAGAACCTAAAATGAAAAGTCTGTACGTCTTGTGTTGTATTGTGTTTGTATGCATCAGATGATGTTTTCAGAAGAATTGAATGTTGCTAGATGTGGTGGTGCTCACCTATAACCCCAGCACTCAGGAGGCTGAGGCAGGATTGCTGTGAGTGTCAAGTCAGTGTGGGCTATATAGCAAGTTCAAGGCCAACCTGGACTACAGAGAGACCTTGTCTAAAAAAAAAAAAAAATTGTCGTGAGGGTGGATCCTGGTTTGAATATTAAGTACTTTGCTACTAGTTATACTCATTTTTCTAGGCTGACTCTCCAGGTATGTAGGAGTATTGGAGACATCTCCTTAAATAGTTTTTAAAACCATGTGCTTAGGGTCCTGTATAACAATTTCCCCATGACATAAGCTGAAGTAATTGAACTGCAGTTTCGAAAGTAAAACATAGGGGCTGGGATGTAGCTCACTGGCACAGCGCCTGCCCGGCAAGCACAAGGCCCTGAGTTCCATTCCCGGTACCGGGGCGGGGCGGGGAGTAAAAATAGTGAATTTGGGGAGGAAGGGGTGGGCTGAAATGATCGAGATACAGTATGTATATGTACCATTCTCAAAACACAGTTATTATGTATCAAAACCATACACTAAAAAAAATATTTAATATGTTTTCTTTTGAGAATGCATGGAAATAGTAACTTTATATTAACTAAAGGTGAAACTGTTTTGACTGTTTAGTGTCTCCTATTTTTAGGATATTTATTTATATATATATTTGTAGTGTATGCTTTTGATACATAATTGCATTTGGGGAATGGTACGTCTATATGTGTTGGTACATATAGAGCTGTGACCTTGGTTTTTAGTATATTCCTGTGTTATATTGAGCTGTATTGTGTAGGACATTGAAAGCTAGCCAGATATTTAAAGTAACTGTTAGAACTTAAAAATCCTTTGGTTACATAGATTTTTTTTTTTTTTTGGTACCAGGAATTGAACTCATGACCTCAGGCTTGCCAGGCAAGCGCTTATGCTGCTGAGGTGTATCCCTGGCCCCAGATTTGTATTTTTTTAAACCAAAATTTACTTAAAATTCAGTATGTTCTAGTGACAGGGAGTCTTCTGAGCATGTATACTTGCAAGTTACTTTTGGCTCTCTTGTGAGGCTGGCGCGTCACTCGCTGGGAGAGTGTTTACCTCGCATGTACCAGTCCTGGGGTTCCACTCTCGACACTACAAGAATTAAAAAACAGAAGACAAGAAAGGGTACTTGGTTTGTGTTGTTTTAGCTGTTATCAAAGAGATTAAAATCAGGTCTAACTTTGTTCATATAAGAAGTAGAAGTTTTTCCTTAATAGAAGGGAGAAGTGTAGCCGGAACTCACCAATGTCACTTGGGAATCGGCGTAGTAGATAATGGTGCACATGTATATTTTTCACCCAGTGGTAACCCTCAATTTCAAGTACGTGCCTGCATTGACAGCTTCTGCTGATGGTGCTCACTTGTTCACCCAGAGCCTAAGTTCCATGAATCCAGGGATTCTTCCTTCATCCATTGGATATGTGTAAATACCTAGACTGATGCTTGGTGCATGCAAGTGCTGAATATATACATGAGTATTTGTGACGTGAGTGACCCTGAGTGAACATATGTAATACTTCTGTTTATGAAATGTGATGCCTAAGGAACCTTTTTTTCTTACAGATAATCATAGACCACTTATAAGTTAATGAATAAATTATCAGAGTAAATGCTAAAAACTGAAAGATTACTTTGTTTCCATAGCAGCTGTGGACAAATTGAATGTAACTGATGAGGATGTGGAGGAAATTAAGAAATCAGAACCTGAGCCTGTTTATATAGATGAGGTAGAGTCCTTCTTTTGTTTAATAGTTAAACTGTCAAGACTTTGAAAATGTATTATCTTTGAGAATGCATGAAAATAGTAATTTTATATTAACTGAAGTTAAAACTGTTCTGACTGTTGAGTGTCTCCTGCTACTTTTTAGGATAAAATGGATAGAGCCCTGCTGGTGCTCCAGAGTATAGATCCAGCAGATTCAAAACCAGATTCCCAAGAACTCTTGGACTTGGAAGGTACTTACTCAGTATCAGTACCAGTTGGATGCTAGTTAGTATTTTAGCTGTTCATGATGGCTTGAGTTTCTTCTCCTTTCGGTCTGCGCTTTGAGATTAGAAGACACCGGTGGGGAACAGACAGTGCAGTAACATAGTAGGAGTATCACTTCAGCGTATTGTCATTTATGCATACCCTTTTCTGGAAGGAAGTCTCAGTGTTTCTGTGAGCCACTAGTGACACTGGTTGGAGATTTGGAGCCCAGACACAACAGAATTGGAAATAATAGCCTATTAAATTAATTGAATCAGAATATTAGAAGCTCGTGATCCTGTCTGATTCTCTTGCGTACCATGCCTTTTTGAATGTCCACTCTATAATACTAAATGTTAACCTTGCAGTGTAACCCACTTGATGCATGCTGATGTACTAGTCTCTGAGAAATTTGAAGCAGTTAAAACACTTATTTGTACCTTTTTAATCCTTTGTAAGAAAGATATCTGTGGTAAATGGATAAATTTTAATTCTTTTCATTGTCAAAAATCACCTGGTTATAAATATAGCATAGTGTGCTATTCATTATATGTGTGTTTATGTTTGGAAATGTACAAAATGTTTAACGTTTCTGTGATGGAAAATTTCATATTTAGTCTGCACGTGGTCGTATGTTCTACAGTGTGGCTCACGTTCATCCTACTCGGCTAGTAGTTTTCTAAATTCCTTTTGACTTCAGGATAGTTCCAAGTAGTGTAGTCTGTAAACGTAATAGTTCAGAGGAGTATGATGAGATTTTAAATTTCAGCCTGGCTTTGGTCACATGGTAGTAGCATAGTAGTATTTCTGCTAAATAGTATTAAAATTGGACCTTAAGTCTTTGCTCTAGCATAAACTGAATTTATGATGCATGGTACTGCATGTTGGTGCTTTGCTGTTAAAAATTGTTGAAATTGTCTTAAACTGGATGAAATTGCTACAATTTTATGTTTTTTTTTTTATTTACAGATATCTGCCAACAGATGGGTCCAATGATAGATGAAAAACTTGAGGAGATTGATAGGTGAGATTTTTTTAAGCAAAGAATAAAAAATGGTTATCTTAGCTTTACTTGTTCTTTGCAAATGCAGAACTAGTAAAAGTTTTTGCTGTGGAACTGTACTAACTGTTAAAATTATTTTCTCAGTTTCCCAAAGTCATGCAAGGTAATGGCAAGCTGGTGGTCTGATTTTGGTAGGGAATTGTTTTGTTTTTTATGCCAGCATTGTGGTATACATAGCTCGTGGACTTTTGTTTTTATCACACCAGTCATTTTTCCTTTGGGCTTGAACTGAGGGAAAGTGACTGATGGAGAGCAAATGAGGAGAGAACAGAATAAAGCCGGAGATCTTAGCTGGTGTTGCCGTGTGATGAGTAGTCAGTCAGCACAGCGACCTTTTGGGAAGGTAAACCCCGTGCCGCACGCTTTCTCCTCATCTCCCTCCTCCTTACTTCTTCCCGTCGCACCTCTGATTATCCAGCCTGATGGTTTAGAAACAGCAGCGGCGCTCAAGGGTGAGCTGTATCGAGAGCTCTACGCTTTAGCTTGATTCTGCCTTCCTTCGATTCCTCGGAGCTTTCTCTCAGAAGTTGAGAGACAGAAGCCATTGTGAATGGGAGGTGGAATAAGGCCTTCCTTACTACTCAGGTGTCTCCCTTCCTAGCCTCTGTCTGTTAAACTGCTGTGTAACAGCACAAGGAGAAAGGGATGAAGTAGGACCAAAGTTTAGAAGGAGAAAAGGAGCCCTGTTTTCTGCTTCTGCCGGAGAAGGGCCAGAGCAGCGAGGCTTTCCAGTCCCTGAAGACTGTAAGTTTTGGCCCGTAGTGCATTTTTCATGAGTTGTGTTTGCTACAAAACTTAAACATAAATCCCCGCGGCAGTTAGTGAAATGTTGATAACAGGTTCATCATATTTTAGAGAGAGCAGTAAATGTCTACTTAGACATCTACTCCATAGTTTTGATGCAAAGACGTTAATGGTTACTAAATGATCAAACTGAAAAAGATTAAAAAGAAAATATACTAAAAAGATAAATGGGGGCGGAAGATACAGCTCAGTGATGCAGTGCCTGCCTGACAAGTGCAAGGTCCTGAGTTCAAGCCCTGGTACCAAAAAAAAGAAAAAGAGCTGGGCGTGGTGGTGCACGCCTGTAATCCCAGCATTCAGGAGACTGAGGCAGGAGGATCATTGCAGAGTTCAAGACCAGCTTGGGCTACAAAGTGAGCTCAAGGCCAGCCTGAACTGCAGAGCGAGACCCTATCTCAAAAAGACAAGAAAAAGAAAAGTGATTAGTACAACCCTAGGTATGGGTAGGAGAATAATTACAAACTTTTCTGGAGCCTAAAAGTAGTCTCAATCTTTTAACCCAGCAATTTCAAGCCCGTCCTAACTATTTTAGGACACTGTGGAGATTTAGCTGTTAAGGGTTCATCACAGTGTTACTTATGACAACAAAATTGAAAGTAACCAGTACATCCACACATTCTACCCTAGCAGGCATTGTCCTTGATCCATACCTCTGACATGGAAAGATGTGATACATAGAAAAAAGGGCAGAAGACAAGTCAGTACAATCTTACTTTTGTTGATTAAAAGAATGTTACTAAGGAAAAACATCTATAATTAAAACTCAGAGTGACTTTCTCTGCTGAGTGAATTTTTGAATGAGAGCTCATCTGTCATCAGATCTCTTACTAGTTTGTTTTTGATTAAGTCAGCTGGCATTTTCACGGTCACTGGTTACAGACGCAGCTTCCATTCTGGAAAATAACTGGCTGTGCTTCAACAAGTTTTCATTGACTATTTCCCCCTGCTAGGAGTCTAAAGATGAATGGAATGTCATTTCTTCTCTTGAATGGGTCATCAACAGCTTGTTATTCCTAAGAAAAACGGCTCTACCGTCAGAAAACAAAATTGCTATTTCCCTTCAGTCTGTCATGGTGCAGTATGCAGTTTTGTAGCATTTATCATCCTGAGAAATTGTATTAGCTAAAGGTGTAAATTGACTCCAAAAGCAGGTTTATTGAAGCGAGGTCTGCTGTCTGGCCTTGGCTGTGTTCCGGACTGCTCTAATCCGTTTTTCTGCTCTCCCCAGGGTAGTCTCTGCTGCCCTGATAAGAGCCTTCCTCACCCTTGCCCCGCACACCCTGCGTGCTCCTTTGCCTGCCCTTACTCACGCTGTCCCGCCCGCCTCACACAGGCTTCCTTCTCGGCTTCCTGTGTGTCCTCTGTAAGGGCCAGCTTTGCCTTTCCGGTTCACCACAGCCCAAAGTAATTTTTCTAAATTCTTCTGCTCTCTCCCTATTCCATATAGTTTTGGGCTCCATTGTATGTTATGTTATGTGCTGTCTTTCATGTTCTTAACCTCGTCTCCCCAGTAGATTGTGATCTCTTTGAAGATCTGCTTGCTTTTCTTCTAGTATAATTGCAGACATAGTTCATTAAAAATTCGGTATTTGAGATTATGTCTCAGATCTTTAAAGGTGATAGTGCAGTGCAGTGATTATGGCTTCTACTGTATTCTCTTAGTATTTTGTCAGCATACTGGGTTATATGTACGAAATACTTACGGTTCTTAGTCACACATTTGTTAGCATGTACGCTTAATTTCTGTAGCTTTGGGTGGTTTACAGCTCATATTTTCAAAAATAGTTTGACCTGCTTTATATAGTCATTCATGCAAGAGAGAGAACAAGCACTTTTTTCTTTATTCAGATATAACAGATTCTGATAGAAGAAAGGTAAAAAGTTTCGTAGGAGTCAATCCATGTTTTTACCTGGCTGGCCTTTGTCTGTTTGCCTACTTCTCTTCCTTGCCTGTGCTTATATGGAAATGATCCCACCCAGTAAGCAAGTTTGTGGATACTGCAGGGCAATTAAAAAATGGCCATTTAACTTCTATAAAATTGTCAGTTGCAGAAGTACAGATAAAGTTATACCAAGTCAGTACAAGCTTGTATGAGCTCTTCAGTTTCCCTGGCAATAGGAAAATACTGTGTACAAATGAAGTGTCTGGTTTGACTTTCTCAAAACCAGGAGACCCGTGGAAAGCACAGTAGAGATCAGCTTGTGTATACATTTTTACTTGTATTTTTGACGATGATTATCAGAATACATTTAAGTGAAAATGTGTCATTTTCTTCAATGACTATGCCTTTATTTTAGTCATATTATATTTCACAGAGGCCCTGGGCCTTACCCAAACACTTCCTTTTACTGAGATTTATAATTAGGGCTGGGATTCTTACCTAAATTGAGAAACTTATTTTTCTTTATAATTGAATTTTCAACAGAAACCTATAGTTATTAAACTTAATTTTCCTCGCACCACAATTATGAATTGGTTGCTTTTCATCAGATAAGTCATATCAGCCTAACTAGTAAAGGATTAATTTCCCTCCCTGTTTCCTTCTGATAATTTCACGGTATATAAAAAGAACCTTTTAAGATATGGTAGGAAATGTGCCAAATTTAAAAAATAATTTACATTGCTAAATACATGCTTTAAAAGTTAGAAGAGGGGCTGGGGATTTAGCTCAGCGGCAAAGCGCCTGCCTGGCAAGCGCAAGGTCATGAGTTTGATTCCTGGTACCGGAAGAAAAGACAAAGACAAAAAAGAAGTTAGAAGAGTATGAAAATGTTTTTCTTCTGCACCAGGAAGCATTCAGAATTATCCGAATTGAATGTAAAGGTCCTGGAAGCCCTGGAACTGTATAACAAATTGGTGAATGAGACCCCGGCATATTCAGTCTATTCAAAGCTCCACCCTTCAGCACATTACCCATCTACATCAGCTGGGGTTCCACTGCAGGTGAGCATGTTTTTTTAACACATTTTTCAGGAAGCCTGGCTTGGTGGTGCCAGCCTATAATCCCAGCACTCGGGAGGCTGAGGCAGGAGGATTACTGTGAGTTCGAGGCCAGCCTGGGCTACAAAGTGAGCTCAAGGCCAGCCTGAACTGCATAGGGAGACCCTGCCTCAAAAAGACCAAAGAAAAAAAAAGATTTGTTTGATTTACATTATTATTATTCAAAGGTTTGGTTAATGAACTTCTTTTGTTCTCCGATCATGCACTGTATTTCTTAGATGCTTAAATTCTTAAAGATGTGTGTGTAATGAAGACATAATACAGGCCTGTGAGGTATGGGTGGGACAAGCCATCCATAGTCGGCATCTTTTCCCAGTACTTCTTACCTTTTTTGTGCTTGCCAGCTGACTTGAATATCTGCATCCCCCTTTTAAAGCCTTTTCCAAATTTTAGCCACTTTACAAACTCAGAATGACTTAGATGAGCAAAATTACTGTTAGCTTACGATGACTGCGTACTCTGTAAAAGAATGTGATGGAGACCCTAAGAAGACAAGGCAGGATGTGGGTGCGTAAATTAGGTGATGTAACATAATTGCTAAGTTGGAAATGGTTCCTTCGGTAACTCACACAAGACAAGGTGCATTTATCGAATACTCCGTGACCCAAACTTTTCAAAAATTACGTAGGAAGAAGGATTTATGGATGGGAAGACGCTGGAGTTTATTTAGTGTTGCTTCTGTTTGGAGGGCTGTTTGTGGCTGTTGTGAAAATGGAATAAAATGGAGCACTAGCTTGGTTAACTAATGCCTCTGCTAGCCAGTGCTGCGTCGGGTGACAGACACGGCTGCGGTCATCTTCCCCACGTACACAGTCCTCTCCCCCAGAACTGTAAAACAAAGTTTGTAAACTGAGGTACCACTGGAGAAGTATCCACTGTGTGAGAGGACAGCGTATTTGCTGCTTTGTGTCTGTGAAGGGTTGTCATTTCTTTGCCAAGTTTTTGTGTTTAGTTGCATTCTGTCTCTAATCTGTTTGGCTAAACACAACTTTTTTTTGGTGGTGGTGGTACCGGGTATTGAACCCAGACCAAACGGAAATTTGGGACTCCTCCTGCCTCGCCCTCCCAGAGTACTGAAGTTACAGGTGTACGCCAATATGTTTGGCTAACCACAACTAATTTCTCTGAAGTTAACTTTGTATCGGTGTGCTTCTTCACATAAACTCTGTCTACACTGCTCACATGGAAAATGTACTTGAAGTTCGGTGTGGTAGCACACATCTGTAATTATAGATCTCTGGGAGTCTCAGGCAGGGGTATCACAAATTTAAATCCATCCTGGGCAACTTAGCAAGACCCTGTCTCAAAAAAAAACAACTCTGCTAAGATAATGAAGTTTCTAATTTAAAAAATGGCTGTTGTGGTAGAAGGCCATTCAGAACTTGGACTGCAAAACGGGTCTATTCCCACAGTCTCTACCACTTGTCAGAGGGTTGTTGTGTGTCTACCAAGGAGGTTATGATTGTACCTCATGTAGTTTATTTGGCAAATCTGTATTCTGAATTTTTTTTT